GATAGGCATAGCAAAGCCTTCTGGTTGAAATTCTTTGGATCCATAGGCGGCTTTCAAGGCAATAAATGAATGTATCATTTCTTGACCAAGATGGGCAAAAGTTGGGAAGGTTTGCAAGGTAACGGGCTGAACTTCTTCACTTCTTTCTTGGATGGTTGAGGCGGTAGAGTAGGATTCGGAACAAAAACTGGTGGTGTTGCCCCTGTGTAGGAGATTAGCCAATCCACTTTAAAGGTTAACAAGTTCACTATTTTTTTAAGTTCTTCGATCTCTTATTGGATTTTGACTTGATCTCTGGTAGGTGTAGTCATTTTTCCTGCCAAGAGCATTAGACTTTAGATAGAATGCAAACATGCATGGAATGAATGCAAAGATGATGCAAGCAATGCCTAAACTATTTGGGTTGGTACCTAGAGGGTGTCTGGGTGGAAAGCCTAAAGTTTTAGGTGTAGGTGCTAAAAGGTGTTTACTTGAGATTCTTAAAGTTTTATTATTTTTATTTGGTTATCTTAGTCGCATCCAAGCGCCATTGCCCAAGCTGCCTACATGTCGTAGTTCTTGAATTTGATTACATATTTTAGTTATGTTTTAAGGGATATTCTCTGGTATTGATTAGATCTTGGATGTTGACCTTGAGAACTATGCAATTGTTCATTGAGTGCCTCAATCCTTGAAGCTCTTCGGTAGGGGATTAGGAATTGGCTTAGGTGAAAAAGGTGTTAGATATCCGCTTTCAATCAGTCGAGGAAACAATTGATACTATAGAGGGAGGGGATCGAATTATCTCTTGATTCTTCTAGTTAAAGTTCAATGTTTCTATGTTAAAGGAGGAGGTTGATGTATGGTGGCAACTACAGTAGGTTCTTTGATCTCAACTAGTGGATTTGTGGATGTTAGATGGATTTTCTCTTCCTTAACTCCCCATTCAATGCGTGCACTAGCCTTTTGCAATTGATGAAAGCCTTGGAGAGCTTGTCCTATGTTGTCCTATGGTATTCTGGATCAACAAAACTTTTGATAAATTGTTCTTCTAATTTGCCCCATCTCCTTTGAGTGTCTAGGTTGATCTGGGTATACCAATCTAAAGCGGTTCCTAAATGGTTGGGCTAGCAATCATTCATTAGATTCAGGCTGTTTGTACAATAAAAAAGGATGTGAGCTTTGGGAAAATTATATTCATCATACTTGTGGAATTTTGGGATTTTAACCTAGGAAGGTTTAGGTTAGGGTGAGGGCACTTAATTTTTTTATTTTTTGGCTGGGATGTTCATATGTCCTTCATGTCCTCCTTCATCTTGGCCAAATCTTGCTAAATGGGAGATTGGTTATGATCCTGAAAGGGTTCTTTTTAGTTATTGGTTTTCTAAAGGATCTATGGGAGATTGGTCAAAGTTGGTTTTCTAAATGATCTATGTTATTGGTTCTACAAAGGTATTCATCTAGGTTGTAGGCATCTAACGAGTGGGAATAAACTAGTGTGGGCTAAGGACTAGTTATAGGGATGCAACATGCTATGGCATGCGATATGCTTATGCAAATGATGAAATGCGGGCAAAAACAATGATAAACCACGACAAAACCGATCTACCCCTAGTATACACCTAGAGCTATCGAGGCTAACAGGACTAGACTAACTAGATCTTTGATCCAAAGCAAGAATGGTTTGAGGTTAAACCTGACTTGCGAGGGTGTAGGGTGTTGTGGATGAGGTTGAGGTAATAGACTAGGTGTGAAGTGCTAGGGTTGATGTGATTCCAGAGGTGCCGATTCTACGGTGGCTACTGATTGGAAGAATCCTAAGAAGGCTAGATGTGTGGGTGATTAGATAGGATAGTTTCCTTGGAGTGGGTTGAGGGAACCTAGCAAGGACATGCAAGAATCTATGGTTAACTAGACTAGGTCATGCAAGGGGAAATGTCTTAAATTAGTGGACCTCTGTCAAAATTTAGAAAAAAAAAACATTCAGAAAGTAAAAACTATTGAGCTTGAAATTAAAAAACAAACCCAATTTTGAAAAATCTTTTGGTGTACTTTTTTTTAATTGCAGAATTTTGATTTTTGCAATTGACTTGAAATAATGTTAGTTAGGATTTAATAAAGAGACTTTATTTGATGATTCTTACAATAGAATCCCGTGGTTTGATAATTTTATTTTTCTTCATTTTATGAATTGGTCCTTTATTGTGTTTTTGTTAACTTGATAGATTTCTATTCTGGATGATTTTAGAAATAGATTTTTATAGTGAGTTAGATGTTGGGATTTGATGCTATTTGGTACATTTGTTCTTTTCCCTTACTTTTTTATTATTAATTTTGGGACTTGTGTTTCTAGTGTTGTAATTAGGATTGAGTTCTAATTTAGAAAATACCTTTGGGTTTAATAAATGGTTAAGACTTGAAGGAAATGTCAAGAGTAGTTAATTCCTATACCATGTTTACGGAACAACAACTTTTTTGATATTGCTCCCCAAAAACAAACTCATTGGGACAAACATGTACTTAGTTTAGAGAAGAGCAAGAAGAATGTTTGAGTTCGAAAGTTTTGAAGGTATATCAATTCATACACCATATGTGTACCTACTTGACATCCTGGAGTTTTGAAGGTATGAAGGTCAAAGTGGCCTTTTGACGTTATTTCTCAAGAGTAATTGATATAGTCAAACATCTACTTGGCCTAAGTTCAGTTGAGGGGATGAAGCATCTTTTGATATTGGTCAAGGGTGGGTTAGACCCTGTACCATATATATCTACTAGATCCTTCCGGAGTTTGAATACTTAGAATGGGTCCAGGTGGCATTTTGATAGTGTTAGGTACCTACTTAGCCAAGAGATGGTCACAGGATAGAAGAGGCCCTAAAAAAATGACCTTTTGATGCTACTTCTTAGGAGTTGAGGGCACATGACAAATGATGAAAGGGGTCAAAAATGACATTTTGATGTTGCTTCTCATGAGTTGAGCTCATACAGTCATGCATCTACTTAGCCAAGAGATGAACATGGAACAAATAATGAAAGGGGATGAAAATGGTTGTTTTATGCTACCTCTCAAGAGCTGAGCTCATAGAGTCATGCATCTTCTTAGCCATGATAGGAAACCAAAACCTGGAGTCGGAAAAATGGTCATTTGAGAGTTTTAGATTCTGATAGTTGTAGTTTTGATTTTGATCTTAATCCTTAGATTTGTTATCCTTCATTTTTTATTATTTAATCTTACAGGAAACTTGTAGATTTGATGTTGATTTTTTTTAATTGATTTGGATTTTTTTTATCTTACATTATTGTTATTTGGATTTTGATTTTAGATTYTGATGTGTTGAAGCTTACTTAGGATTTAGCTTAGACTTGGTTAACATTTAGGAAATTTGACCTAGGTATTGCCTTTGGTGACCTTTATGGTGTTTTAGTGTCTCTTGATGGAAGATCAAATCACATTTTTTTTGTTGTTGTTTTTCTCTTTTTTTTCTAACGGGTTGAAAGAATTTAGGCTTCATTTTTTTATCCTACTTCTAAAGATGGAAATCACATAGTGCAACACTCATGGTGTCCTAGTCCTAATTATACTACAGTTCCTCTATCCTACTTTCATCTCAGGCTTCTAGGTATGGATATTCTAGGTGTGATGCATGGAGTTGTTAGGTGGGTTCTAAACTCTGAGGTTCCAATAGGAACCTAATAGACACAATTTGAAAGTTCAGGATACTGCATAGACAGGTTTTGAAGTTTGTGGACTGACTTGATACAACCCCCAAAGTTCAGGAATTTTCTCAAAAAAAAAAAAAAACATAAAACAAAATTTGGCCCTTCTTTCAATTCGACCAAACTCATATAAAAAGGATTTCTGTCAAGGTCCACTGTCTACTGGGTAGCCGAATACTATCATGGAAAGCATAGGATTTTCGCAAAGGCCATCTTAGAAAATATTGGATTTAGGTTTCTGTTGTTTTTCTTTTTTTTTCATTTTTATCTATTGGTCTAAATTGCCTATTTCTTTCAGTTTGTTTGGACTGCAAATGAAATTTGAACTGGTGTGAATGCGTGGGAGTGCAAATGGGCCAACTGTAAATTCTAGATTACTTTTAATTTGCTTCACATTTTGACTTCATTTTGTTTGATCATGATAGTAAGATGGGAAGTAGTGATACAATGTGGTCTAAACTTCATATTTAGGATATGCAGCAAAAAAGAAAACAAAAAAATCATATGGACAGAAGGAGCATGAAAGCAAGAGGAAGGTTGTTTATTTAGGTTGATTAAAATATGAAATAAGATTATGTAGTCCCAACTTTATGTGAGAGGAAATCAAGGTAGGAAGAAGATGGTGCAGACATAGGATGCAAAGTTTGCAATGCCAATGAGTACTATTGAGACAAGTGTATCAGGAAAGCAAGCAACCAATAGTTTTAAACAAAAATATATGAATATAAATTGGGTGAAAGTTTGACATCTGCTTCAGATTCGAACTGTAAACATGCAGAGTACAAGCATCGGTTTGAAATCACTAGAGCCATTAATCCTGCCTTTGAACCCTATTGACTATAACTACTTCTGTCCTGGACTAAGTTGAACAGCTGAAATTCCTACTATTGTCATGGGCTTGGGTACATTCTCTACAACAAGTTCACAAATGGCCTGGGCACAAAGGAAATAATAGATTAATAGGTGGACTTCAGACAAACAGAAATCCATCTTAAGCTCAGTCCAATCTAACTGTTGGACTCAACCCTTGTTGACAAGAGACAGGAAGTTGATTCCAGGCCACGTGAATAAAGTGACAGTACTCTAAACCTGTCCAATTTGATAATTTGGAATTTGGATTTGGCACACCTCTATCCTCCATATCAATGAAATAACAGTCTCAGCTCAGCAGAGACCTATGCCACCATTTAGAAAAACCTGATCTCTTGGAAGAGAATCAAGAGTTGCATCAACACGCTTACTAGAATTCCTCTTGTAATAAAGCTCCTTGGAAAAAGAAGCTAAGTATCTTTCTCTCTCTACAATCATTTTATTCTTGGAGGGTTCTGATATATAATGGTTTATAGACTTACAGTTAATGTATCAGTAAGATGCCTGGTTTGGTTGATGAACAATTGTGATTTGAGCTATTGGTGCGAGCTTGTGAGTTTGCTCATTGTAATTGTGCGAAATGGCTCTGATAGATATGATTGAGTGTGACCTGACAGTTGCTGTGCAACAAAGCGCATTGTAGGCCGTGATTCAGGATTGGTGTGTCCACATGCCAGTGCAATTGTAACAACAAAAACTACTGCTGCTGCCAATTGACCTGTGGGAGGTGGAAGTCTTTGATCTAATACATCCTTCAACAGCAAGTCATAATCACTGGATGATGATGATGATGATGACAGAGAAGAAATGAGCTCCCCTGGGTGTCTTCCCATCATAACTTCCATTGACACCACTCCAAAGCTATAAACATCACATTTTTCTGTGACCTTCATGGTATATGCAAGCTCTGCATTTGGAAAAACATAGCCTATTAAGTTTCATAGAAATTGTAAACCCACTAAACATGTCCAATAAACTTGGTAGAAAATTACATTTTGACTTAGAACTGAAAATACTTGAGGAGCTAAGGCTCAGTTTGGAAGGAATACAAATACAAATTTATAGAGTGCAAAATCTTGTATTTTGTATTATTTTGTGTATTTGCACTGTACATATTTGTATTTGTACCCTTTCCAAACTGAGCCTAAGTAAATAATTCATGATTTCTTCATGGAGCCATTGTTCAATTCAATGGGTTGGATCAATTCAATGGGTTGGATCAGGTTCAGTTTGATTGACAAAACTGAAAAGCTGGGCAAGTCAAGAAATAATAATACCATGTATTATATTAAATCTGAAATTAAACCACAATCTCAAAACAAAGTAGTTCAAATATTATTAAAAAGTAAAAAGAGAAGCAGAAAACTTTTCTGTCAAATACTTATTCAGGACTTAGTTAATGTCTCCTGGGTTAAACAGAGTATTTTCTGGAACAGATAATGTATATGGTTTATGCATATCTTTTACATAAACTCATATTCTACTAGAATCAAAAACTGACTGAGAATAAGGCCTGTACACTTGCACCAATAATCGGACATGCATCATGTGTAGGGTTCAATCAGGCAAGTGCTGACTGCTGAGTGGACCCAATACCGCAGAGAAGTTTTTCCCTGGTGTTAATCAGAACTTACATTCATAWCTGGAAATGGCACCTTGGTTATCTAAAAACTAGAATCTAATTCTTTAAATCTGCAAAACATTTTGTATTCTGTTTTTATTCCTTACTCCAATGGAGCTAGAGCAGTAGAGAACAATTTCTACAACTAAAAATGATGAAATGAGCAAGAAAAGTTAAAGGACATGAAAACATGGCATACCTGGAGCCATATAACCATAAGACCCAGCAACTGTAGTCCAATTGGATGAATCAGAGCTCAACAATCTGGCTGTTCCAAAGTCTGAAAGCCGAGTTTCAAACTCTGAATCAAGCAAAATGTTGTTCACAGATATGTCACGATGCACAATAGCAGGAGAACAGTCATGGTGCAAGTAAGATATGGCATGGGTCAGCCCTTGAATAATCTTCACCCTTGTCCCCCAGTCCAACTCTCTTCCCCCTTCCTCACCATACAAAACTTTTCTCAAACTACCTCTCTCAACATATTGATACACCAAATACATGCATCCCTTCATAGAACAGAACCCATACAACTTAACAATATTTCTGTGCCGAACTTCTGTTAATGTACGGATTTCATTCTCAAAACTTCGTCGATTTGATGCTGGAATGTCACTAGAATCTGACATATTGAGCCTCTTAACAGCAACAATGTGTCCAGTTGAAAGCACTGCTTTGTAAACAGACCCAAATCCACCTTTGCCAATACAGTACTTCTCATTGAAGCTGTCTGTGGCTTCCGCGATATCACCGAAAGTAAATCTTCCTTCTCTTTCCCAAATGAATGATTCAGGCCTCCACTCATTTTTCATGATGCTTTTAGTGTCTTCATCTTGTTGTCCTAATTTCTTACTTAAGATCAAAACCCCAGTTATGATGGCTCCCAAAAGTAAAAAACAGACAATGGGAAGAATAATGGCAACAAGGATTTTCTTCTGAATTTTGGAGTCTCTGGGGTGAGGATTTGGGTTGCAAGGGGGCAAACCATGAAGAGCAGTACCACATAATTTTGGGTTTCCAAGGAAGGCTGCAGCAGGTGCTTTTGGAAAAATGCCACCAGTTGGGACCTCACCACACAACTTGTTATATGAGAGATCGATAATTTGTAGGCTAAACATGTTGGATAATGATGTTGGAATTTTTCCCGAGAGATTGTTATGGGATAGATTGAGATTTTCCAATTTAGTCAACTTCCCCAAGTTCTGAGGGATGGACCCTGAGAGGTAATTTCTGCTGAGATCAAGAAATGAATGCAAATCATTTAAATTCCCCAGATCAGATGGTATTTCACCTGATAACTCATTGTTGCTCAAGTTGAGCTTCGTTAGCTTGAAGCAATTTCCAAGCTCTACAGGTACACTGCCATTTAATTCATTTTCTGACAAGTCCAGTTCTTCTAGCTCCTTCAAATTCCCAATGTTCTGAGGGATTACTCCTGTTAACTGATTATTGCTCAAATTAAGCTTGAACAACCTTCCCAAGTCTCCCAACTCTTTTGGAATTTGCCCCGTCAGTTGATTTGAAGACAGGCTTAGGTCGCTTAATTGGGTCAATTTCCCAACCTCAGCTGGAATTTCACCAGAAACATTATTTCCATCAAGGTGCAAATATGTGAGATTTGCACATTCTCCCCAAACTGGAGAGAGCTCACCAAAAAACTGATTCCTACTAAGATCTATGTACAAAAGATTAGGGTGTACTCCAAATGCTTTAGATATGTTACCTGTGAATCCATTCCCATCGAGGCGGACTCTAATTAGTTTAGAGCAATTCCGCAAGCAATCTGGCAATGGTCCTGTAAAATTGTTGCCATTTATCGTGAAATATTGCAGAGCTTTGCCCTTACATAGATCTGGTGGCAACTCACCGGAAAAGCTGTTGTTGGAAAAACTGACAAAACTCAACTTGGAACTTTTCTGCCCCAAACCTTTTGGAATGCTACCAGATAAATTGTTTGAAAATAAGGAGAGAGACTCAAGTCGCTTAAGGAGAGAGATGGTATCTGGAACCTCTCCCTGCAACTGATTCGTGTTGAGATCAAGCATGGTAAGAGATGTCATCCTTCCAATGTCTGGAGGAATTGCACCTGTCAAATTGTTGGAGAAAAGCTGTAATACTTGAAGCTTCGTTAGGTTTCCCAGTGAGTTAGGTATAGGACCATTGAGCTTATTCACGGACAGATCTAGCTGCACCAAATTTTTCAGGTTTCCAACCCCCGGGGGTATGGTACCTGAAAGTTGATTCCTGTAGAGGAAAAGTGTATTGAGCTTTGCTAATCTGACAATCTCAGGTGGAATCATTCCTATGAAGGAATTATTCTGGAGTTGCAAGGAGATCAATCGTGTCCAGTTTGTAAAGAAGTAAGGAGAAATCTCTCCAGAAAGCAGGTTATTTGAGATACCCAGTTCGGATATCTTTGTGAGTTTGGAGAGGGACAGAGGGAGCTCCCCAATGAGAGAATTCACTGCAAGCGCTAGAAAGGTGAGGTTACTACAATTGCCAAGCTCGGGGGGTATCGTAGAGTTCAACCTGTTACCATGGAGATCAAGTCTCTGAAGCATCCTGAGTTGGCCGAGAGAAGAAGGAATCTGTCCACCTAATGAATTGTTATATAATTCCAGAATTTCAATTCTGGAAAAAGAACCAAACTCTGTTGGTATTACACCGGTGAACCTGTTCATCCCTAGACGTAAATCTTTAAGATGAACAAGTTTGGTCAGGCTTATGGGTAATGGTCCTTGAAACCAGTTACTAGTAAAATTGAGATATTCAACCTTCTGTAGATTGGTAGCTAACTGTTCTGGTATAGGACCAGTCAGTTCGTTCTTGGATAAGTCCAGATATATCAGATTCGGGCAGTTGAACATGAAAGGTGGAAACTCCAGGCTAAGTGAATTATAGCAAAGACGAAGGTCTGTAAGATTGAGCATTGCAGAGAACTTTGACGAGTCGGGTGACTCCAAGTTGTTTGAAGAGAGGTCTAAGTTCTGTACCTTTTGAAGATAGCTGATCTGGTATGGGATTCGACCCTTAAGGTTGTTTTCGGAGAGACTAAGAAACTGGAGCTCCGACAACCTTCCGATCTCTGTAGGTATGGAACCGCTGAAATGATTGATGCCCAGGTCCAAATAAGTGAGCATAGAGAGGTTGGCAATGGCTGACGGGATTGTTCCATAGAAGTTGTTTTCACTGAGATCCAAGACAGTGAGATTGGGTAGAGATGAAAAACTGAAATTGTGGAGTGTTCCGTTGAGGTTCAATCGGTAAAGGGTGATATAGGAGACGCTTCTGGCGTTGTTGCAGACAATGCCGGTCCAGTTGCACAACCTTCTAACATTGGAGAGGGACCAAGAATTGAGAGCAGCAGAGGAAGTTAAGCTGTTCTTCCACTTAACCAGAGCTTTAGCTTCTGTAGCTGTTGATAACGATGCCTTCAGCGGAAGAGAGGACAAAAGCAGAGGAAGGAGGAGAAGGAGATGATAAGGTTTTGGAGCTTGCGACGACATATCTCTCCAACAACCTGATCTCTCTTAGTTTACCATTTGTTCTTGCGACATATGTATCAGTCTTTCTGGTTTGATTTTGCTGCATCTTTGCAAGGGCATATAAATAGAAGCAGCAAGAGGACGAGAGGAATAGATTCAAAGTCAAATTGGATTACAGTACTACCATGGAGTGACTCTGGAGTGTGAAGTAGGGGGAAAGCAATTGTTGGAGATTGAAGAAGGACGTGTGCATGCATGAATGAATAGTATATATTTAAGGGTAACCTCTCTCGAAGTTTCTGACAATCATAAAAACCTCCCCTCGAGTTTCACTTTAACAAAAACTTCCCCTGAACTTTTGAAAAACTCAACATAAACCTCCCCTCCCAAACGGAAAACGTTTGATTGATGAATTAATTTTCTTAAATGCCCATTTTACCCTTTTTGTATACGATATCACATAAAATGAAATAAACTTTAAATTGAGTAACCCATTTGCTACCCTTTTTTCTCCCTGAAACTCCATCGAGTTCAAACTCATACTGCCCATTTTTCTCTCTAAAACTCCATCGAGTTCAGACTCATGCCTCCCTTTTTCTCCCTATAGCTCCATTGAGTTCGAAATCATGCCGCTCTTTTTTCTACCTGAAACTTCACCAAGTTCAAACATATGCCATGGAGATGGTGTGCAAACCCGTGATGGTAAAAGCAAGTAGTTCTTACTGTTGATAAATCAATTTGGTAGAGAGCACTCCATTTTTTTTACCTCAACCATGTCCACTAGTTCATTGGAAATCCAACAATTAATACACGCTTATAATGCTTATACAGATAAATATGGACAACAGATCTCAGATCTCGTGTTCACTTTCAATCTAGACACTAGAACAGTCATGAAGAAAGAACTTCACACTCATAAATGCACAAATTGCTTTAGATTTGCCACAATTTCCTCAAACACCAAAAGAATTCTAAGGGTATCTTTAGATGAGGAGGAGAACATGGTGGAGTACTTTGATTTCTCATATTCTACAGTTGGCAGCCCATGTAGTAAACAAACTGTAAAAATATACAAATTGCTATAAAATCACCCAGCCGGAACCTTCCATTCTTCTTCTGATATAAGCTCTCACAGACTGTATAAAAAGAAAGAGAGTCAAGGGAAAACTCAACCTTTATCAAAGCCTCATAAACATCATCAGGAACAAGAAATCCACAACCTCTTTCTACATCTGAAAAAGCTTGTTGAACCTTAAGAAGAAACTTGTTAAAAGGAACAAATTCTTTAATGCTCATTGTTCCATTTCGATCAAAATCATACATTCTGATCATCTGTGGACAATGTAGAGAGGGAATTCTAGTTTTCCAACTGCCAGAGCTCTCTTGAGCTGAGGGGCAATGATGTTCCCTGTCTTGTTTGAATCAACCAGTTTGAACCACAACTCCTTCAGAATCGTCATGTTCTCCACTTTGCGTGGAAAGAGGAGTGCATTGTGCATCCTTCTCCTTGGTTGTTTAACAATTTAATTATGCGTAATAACCACTCCAATTTCATTTGCATTCGCTTGAATTCAAGACATTGTTTATCTAGTAAAATAAGTGCTTGGATGCATATCTTATTCAGAGATGGAAAGTTAATATAACACCCATGCAGTACTTTTAGAGGCTGCTAAAACCAACAACAAAGGAATACTTACCTGTTTTTTTCTTGCTTAGAGAGAGAGAGAGAAAGAGAGAGAGATTATAAGGTATGCCAGGCTGCATCATCAAGGGGAGGCATTTGAATTTAAATCATATGTGAAAGGCCAAAAAGAACCTCAAAACATTCACTAACAGTTGGATCTTGTTTGTTCAACGCTTCAAATGTGTTTTGAAAGCTTAGTTCACTTTGGGTTGGACGAGCTTAGCACTGTTGCTGTCACAAGTAGTTGAAGATCAGAATTTGAATTCGTGGGGAGCTTCAGAACTTCCTCTATTTGATTGCATCTTTTCGAGCTTGTTAGTGATGAAGAGACACCAAGTTTGCCCTTTTACTTTCTTATCCCAAGCTTCTTGCTCAAATGCGTGTTCTAATGGTTCTTCACCATTTATAAAAGAAGCACCAAATGTCATGATTTTACCAATTTTACACCAAAAGAAGCATCGAAGTCCATGATTTTGCCACTGGCAAAAGGGTAAAATGGGCATTTAAGAAAACTAATGCATCAATCAAACGTTTTTCCGTCTGGGATAGTGACGGAGGGGAGGTTTATGTTGTGTTTTTCAAAAATTCATGGGAGGTTTTTGTTAAAGTGAAACTTGAGGGGAGGTTTTTATAATTGTCAAAAACTTCAGGGGTGGTTTTTGTACTTTACCCTATATTTAATTTAAGATAGGTGAGTTTAACAAATTACACATTACTACTCTGTTTGGGGTAGTGGCAATTACCTTTTTGAACTTTTATTTGCAAGAAGGACCCCCCCCCCCCTCTGGCATTTGGTCATTTAACTTTGAAAAAGATCTCATGTAATTGTTTAATTTTTTAAAATCTCCAAATTACCCTTTTTTTCAAACGATTTTCTAAAGCAAGTGTTGCAATTCTAGGTTTTCACATAAGTTTCTTGTTTTGTTAATTGCAATTTTCATTTTATAGAAGTTTCCTAAATGGATATTTTATGATGCAAAAAATATATAATATGGAAAGAATTTTGACCAATCAAAATTCATCTATAAATTTTGATAAATAATACATTATTTGCTACTACATTTATTATTTCAGTTTATTCATCAGTTGTTTTTCCGATGTCATATCTTTTCCATATCATAATCGAACCCTTAGGGGGTAATTGCCACTACCCCTAAAATACAGGGTAGTGATATATAATTTACCATTCAAAACATTCATTCATGCCGAGAAACACAGAGGAAGTTGTTATCTCAAGTAACCAATGTGAAAACCAGCTCAATGGCTTCACAGTTTAGCCAAACCTAGCTGTCTTTGCTTTGTCATTCTTCTGGATATAGAGCGTAGCTTTCAAAGAAGCTTCTCATTCGGTTGCCTTACATAGTTAATTAAGAAGAAATTAAGTACTTGTTTGGAGTGTTGACTGGACTTCCTAGGATCTTTTGCAAAGAAACGTTACATGTTATATACTTGGTTCTTGGGGTCAAAGTCAACCAAATTATTAATTAAAGTATATTTATTTTATATTAAATTATACTTAAGTAGATATCAGAGATAATAATTATAATTATAACGTTGACAATTCTGTTAATCACTTGTACATTCAAGACCTCATAGAAAAGAGGGAGAGAATAGTCTACATATATCTCTAGATGAAATATAGAAACCCCTTTCTTCTAGGAGAAAAATGAGGAAGGGTTGCATAGCATTTGTCTTGCAAAGAATTAAAAACACACACAAAAGAAAGAAAAACCTCTTTTACAAAACCTAGGTTCCTGGATTGGTTAATAGGTTCTTAATCACACTGTTTCTATATAGTACCCAAAAGGCATTGACCCAAGAGAAATGGAACCGGGCTTAAGCCCATTCCTTTCTGGTAGGGGTGTCAAATCCAGTCCAATGTGAGTCCATTATAAATGGATCAGGTCCAATTCAATCTAATGAATATTTTGGATCAATTTGAATCAGTCCAATTCAATGTCTGGACCGTCCAATCTGTTCAAATTCATTTTGGTTTAGATTGGTTTCAACCCAAATCCGATCCATTGACACATATATTCTTATCTTATATCAATGGATCAGATATTGGCTTAATCCAACCCAATCCAATATAAATTTATTATGAACGGACCAGGTCCAATCTTATCTAATAAATATTTTGGGCCAAATTGGTATAATCCAATATGTCTTGTTGGTTCGTCCAAATTGATTTTGGATTGGACGGGCGGTCCATTGACACCCTTACTTTATGGTTGCTGGACTCTATGAAAGAAACATACGTTGATCCCGTAATGATCCAATCGTTTTAATCTGTTTAATATTGTGTCAGATCCATTATTCTATTTTCTTTCTTTCATATTACTGGGCTCTGCCTGTTTTGATCTCTTTGCAAGTGAGGCTACGCCTATCAACTCTTATCTAACCCTTTCTATAATATGTTATAATGCATTTTGGTAAATTGACTAACACACAAGTGATCTGTTGGGTTAAGGTAGCAAGAAATGATTTAAGTGCCCACAATTTAATAATAGATATAGCATTAAACAAAATGGAATGGTGAAAAATGGATTCATATAATCTATCCAATATGGTTGAAATAAAGTTTTGATGATGATGACAGCGATAAATAAAAGATTTTTTGATGGATTAGACTATGATACCAGAAAAAACTTATAACTATCAACTGACATCAAAAAAGTGATAGCCAATCAGATAGGTCGCATCCTTTTTAGTACCATGTAGTTTTGATATCATAGATTTTCCCTTTTTCTAACATACATTTCCAATACAATAACCTCATATTTCTGGAACCATGAAATAAGCAATTGGATGCAGATTCCTAGCCCAGCCTCCTATTGAAGCTGAGTAGCAAGCTCTACTAGTGGTATCAAGACAGCTATAAAGTCACACATGAAGAAACTAACGATGTTTGGTGATACAATGTACATAATCTATCTCTTGATTCATCCCCAACCCCAATCAAGAGACACATCATACATGGCGTTATAAGGGAGGAAATCTTAGACTTCATTATTTTGACATGTGTAATATAACTTATATAAATGGACAGCAAAATGAACTAGCATATATACTAGCTTATAAGTCTCTAAGGAGGGAACAGTGTACATACTTTTCTGAATATAATATAACTGGGTTCCATTATGATATGGAAAAGATACATATGATATATCTGAAAAACTTCTGACCACTAAACTCAAATCATAAACTTGGTAGCCAATCAGGTGTTATTTATCAAAATTCATGGGTGGGTTTTGAATTTTTGATTGATCAAAACTCTTCTCATACAATGTCTTTCCGGCATCATAGATTTTCTCAATATAACTATCTTTCAACCTTGATGACTAAAAAAATAGAGGTACTCACTTTAGGGTCTAAACATTCAAATGTGTCATTTTAGTATCTGAATTTCTAGAAATATAATTTTGAGTCCAGCTCCATTAAATTAACATTACAATGATGGATAAAATTATAAAAATGCCCATGTATTGATTCTCTTTTTTCATTATTCACTTTCTTCTACCTATGGACTTCATATGCAAACCAATGGTGACCAAGTTCACTGAGGTCTATATTATTTAATTAAATGTTCATTTGAGTTACCTTTAATTACAGCATTTAATACGTCATTAAATGTTACTTAAGTCAAATAACTTGTTAAAAGTTATTTGCTTACAACAATAATTAATTAACCACTATGCCAACCTTAATTGCTTATCATAACAACATATTTTTTATGCTTAAAGTAATCTTTTTTGCCTTGGGTGGATGTTTCCCAACAAATGCTAAAATTTGATTATTACTATTTATATAATAATAAAATAAATACAAATTATATTTATTCATTAATATATAATAAATATTAACTAATGAATGGATTCAAAAAATATTAGTATATATACACACATATATTTTAGTTCTTCTATTATTTTTCAATGGTTACAAATTATATCCCGATACTTTATATAAATCATTAAAGAATAGTTTTTATATTTAAATAAATTAATTATAATTACATAAAACTCATTTTTATTGTTGTTCATATTTTTTAAAGATTTTGTTTTGAATTTTTTAGCATATCCATGCGTATCTTGATTTTTTGTCCATATCTATACGTTTCCAAAGCATTTCTCGGTAGTCTCTTACAATTACCTTTCCGATACACCGAAGCTTCATTTCTGCAGGTACACTAAAAGTGGCACATTTGAAAGTTTAGGCCTTAAAAGTGACATTACTCCAAAGTACATTTGCAATTTAACAAAAAAATCATACCAACTTATGTAGATCAATGAATATCCAAATTCATTCATTTGGACAAGAATGGAGATTTTATATGTGGAATTGGCAAAGAGCCTGGCAGTAGGGAAGTTCCCGGCAGATGAGGAGCAGAAGGAATTTGCAAAAGCAAGAGCTACAGCTGGGGAGCTTCTCCACTATACTCTTCTTCCCCAAGCATTCTTCTTCTAGGCCGATCAAGTATCCTTTCTGAGTAGAGAGGGATATTGATCCCTTGATCACCTTTGTTATAGCCCTATAGGACCAAAACCCAAGCAATTAAATAGGTTGAAATTTATAGGTCTACAATCTCAGTAGGAAAAGGAAGTTAGAACTTAGAAGTAATCTAGTGGGACGAGAGAGCGCAGAACAGAGGAGGTAAGCAGTGAACAGAACAGTCAATTTGCAATTGATTGCACGGTCGGTGGCCTCTAAAAGTACCAAAAGAGAGTTTTTGTTGTTCCTTTTGCATTTGTGTCATTTGAGTAGTGATGGCATTAACTATTAACAGTTTCCCTTCGACTTCAATTCCCCTCAACCTATCGTAAAAGAATAATGATCTCAGAGTTTTACCCTCTGGGTTGGAGAAGTTCATGAAGCTCCTCAAGTTGCAATCCTTCAGGTTCAGACAGCACGAAGCCCATCACCAATCTTTTCTTGTTACAATACCTGGACATCTCTAACAAGGAGCAATGCCATGAATGGTACCTTCCCATTTGATTTTCCACCTCTCCTTTGTCTCAAATTCTCATATATCCCAAATAAATCACACTAGTTTTAATACCAAAGGTACCCCTGCATTTTCCATTTATTTAATCCTTCTAAGCTTCGACCATCTTAAGCAACATGGATTCCCAACAATACTTCTACAGTCTATTCTTCCATCGGAAATTGTCAACCCAAAATGCATAAATGCATGTAAGAAACATGTACAGGATAGCCAGCCATTGACCTCATGCATAGATTGTGGGCCACCTCTTAGAAGGGCCATAAACCATTTTGATCCATGATTGATCCCTGCTAACCAATACGGTCAACACCAGTTGCCCTGTCCATTCATCACGGAGCTTTTGGTGTTGATTGAAGGGGCTCAGATGATTGGTAGCGGCACCAGAGTCCAACAATCTTAACGCTGCTTTACCACAGTATTATTGCTTTTAATATATCGGCAGTCCTCTTCAACCTCTGTCATTCCCGACCAAAAAAACCATCGAACAGCTCTGCAACTGCAAGAATTCTCCGTTCAGATTCTAAAGGTAACGTTCCAATTACTGTTATTTGCTGTTATAGATTTCGTCCTCCGTTACCTTAGAATCGGGTGATGTGATGCACATTTGCTTTCTCTTCCATAACAGAAGAGAAGGAAGACAAAACTAATGAGTTCGTTAGCAACACATTTCTCTGCGTTTATCTTTCTCTTCCCGATAGGAATTCGTCGCCTCCTATGTTCCTTCTCTCTCTATCTCAGAAACCCATCTCTCTACAGGTCCAAAACATGGTATTCATCGGAACCTAGATGGAAAAACATCGATTTGTACTTCCTCCTCATTGCCCTACCCATTGCCTCATTTTCCTGGATTTTCTTGTTCTTGACTTTTTCCGGTCACCCCACGTACCGATTCACTTTCTTCAATCAAGCAGCAGTGACTCTGATCTTCTGGGTCTTCATAATTTTGGTAATTCTGCGAGAAAATTTCGACCCTTTTCTCATAAATGAGGGTATGTTATTCATTTTCGCCGGAATTGCGTTTCTTATTGAGTATTCCTTCGTGGGTAAGGGATTTACAGGTCTCGGGAGCCATGTTTATGAATTGTTAGCTGGGTTGACGCTTGTCTGTGCTGCTGCTTGCTTTTATCTATCGTTCAGACCAACGGCCTTCTTCGCAGAGGTGGTGCTATCCTCGGGTCTTATTTTCAAAGGGACATGGGTGTTGCAAGCTGGGCTGTCTTTATACACGGATACATTTTCCTTGAAGGGATGCCATAAGATTTCGTTGTCTCGGTCTCTTGACAAGATCAACGAACAGTGTGATCTCGAAGAGGATAGCTTGAGGGGGGTGGCTCTGATGGATCTCTTGTTTGCCTGGCATGCAGTCTTAGTCTTGGTCATGAGTTTCACGTTGTTTGGTGTCCTATCTTGCAATAGAAACTTGAGATGTGGGGAAGGCGCTGCTCCGTCATTGGCAGATATTGATTCAGAGAGCATGCTCAGGCGCCCACTTCCAGAGTTTGAGGTCGAGTGAGAATTGTTTGTCTTTGTTTTCTTGTATTGTGATATAAAAAGGTGGATATTGAATAGAAACTATCAGTTTGAGTTATCAAAGTTCACTTGTTCTCTACAGGTGGGCAGTGATAGTGTTAACTTCTTCCCGTTACTTGATAATAATATAAGTTTTGTTTTCTTACTTCCCCTTGTCAATATTTGTAAGCTTCTGTTAGTTGTATTTAACTTTTAATTTGTAAGCTTCTGTTAGCTACATTTAACGTTTGATTGATTCCCAGAGAACTCAATACCATAGCAGACAAGTGTTTATAGGCAAGATTTGTATAGCAATGATGTAATGCCCTGAAATTTTTGTGGGCTCGTTAGTCTTTTTGCTTGTATAATCTCTTTATTAATATTACATCTTGTTATTTCTCTCAAAAAAAAAAATCTCTTGATTAAAAGTTGTTGAAGGATGATGGTCATGCTACCATGAATTTTTTTAGGATTGATTTATGGTACATCAACTACTATAATGACAGTACTACATTCAATGATGAAGTCACACATTGGTACCAAATGTCTCCAACATGTTGTAATTGTCAGTTACTACAAAGTGCAGCCTTTTTCTTGAGACTTGAGAACCTTTAGTTGTTCTCATTGTTATATTTGTGTACCAGTAGTTCTAGCCCTGAATATGATCTTAACATCTATCTGCACAATAGTTCCACTAGTTCTGAAAGCCATCAAAATGACTTCTTAAGGGCAGTTCATGCAGTGATTCGTTATAGAGCATAGTTATATTGCTAGATTAGATCTTGCAGATTCTAACCCTGTCATGGACCCTTATCCCAGTTCTGGTGGAGATTTTAACCTTTTCTGCGAGATTTTGACCTTGCCTACCTTGGCACATCCTTCAGTGCTATGATACACCACTAATAGGATATGATTCTCCTGCATCTCACAGAACATACTGGAGATTAAGACCTCACCCATTCAATTGTTGATCCAGAGGACATTCTATGATATTTTGATACTTAAGTTTTTGGGAGTTCTGATCCAAGTCAAGAGTACCTATGTTTTTCAACACAAGTGGGATTTACTAAGACATTATGTCAAGGCATGCTTGCATTTGTCCATGTTTCCAAAATACTAGAGAATCCTGTAGGATTTGTTCTTTCCCATAAACCAATATTTCCATGTAAAGATTACCCATTACTCAAATTCAATAGATAGGATCCTCACTTGTTACAATACAGAATGACATTGTACATGAAGCATGAGCTATATTGATCACATCTTTGCAGTTTATGGCATATATTATGAGATATTATCTCTAATGATTTATTTCAAGCAAGTTTATAATAAACAAAGGATTATCTGGATGAGATAACAAACATAATGATCATATCAAAGACATGCAAGCAATACCTAAGGACAAAAGATAAAGTCACAAATAAAGTTTTGACTGGATAGAAGAGTGAGGTCATCATGTCTGACATGTTAATGCAACTTGATTGAATAAAGTGTAGATTACAGTTACATGCCCTTTCTTCATCAGTATCTACATGCATATATATGCTATTGAAGCATGATAATGTTTGTTTAGGTTTTCTGGGCTCTAACTATATCACTCAATTCAAAAGGACTTATCTCATTATTTGTGCTGGCTGCATGGATTTTTTTTTTGTTTTGGTCACGCTCTATCAAGGACCATATTTTGTTAAAGTTGAGTCCTAAGACCTGTTTTAGCATATACACTTCTTTTTCCTCAACTTGTAAAGCTTTCTCTAGATGCTCAAAGGGAAAAACCAGTAAAAAAAACGTTGGAAACTTTGGCTTCTGCAAAACCTCTCTCCCTTAGATGGAATTTCCTTCTTCCATTTCCTCTACAAATGAATTAACCTTCCTAGCACTTTCATTGCATTGTTGCTGGGAATTGAACAATTTGTAGGGTTTTCCCAATTATTCTCAATGGATTAGGCATGTTTTCTAGAAACCTAAAAAGAGTTTGGAGCTTCTTGAGTTCTTGTTGTTGTTGGCAAGATCAGCCACAGATTGTTTTAGGTCCTCTCTGACTATTTGGTGAAGCAATATCTGAGACTTCATATCTTATAAGATTTGATATCTCCTTATCTTATAAGATTTGATGCTCTTATGCTCTATGTTGATGTATTGGCATGAGTTTCAGCCCAACAATGCCTACCACATGGAAAACCAGTTCTTTCTTCTTGGCATTGTTTAAACTAAAAATATTTAAATTGTAATAACTTGTCTTACTTGGAGAAAAGTCCAATTCTAGGTGGCTATATAGTTAATATGGGCTGGGACCAAACATGTGGCAATGTGGCCCTATGTCTTCCTGGGTCATTCCCTCACCTAATTGAAACAGAAGAATCATCAAGATAAGAGATCCTAGGTGATCCATTTTGCTTCTCACTTTGGGCAATTAGCAGTAATTTTCCTATGGACTTCTGCGTATCTGTTTCTTGTAGCTTGGCAAGGAAATTTTTCAGCATTGGTAAAGGATCCCTAGATGCAACACTCATGGTGTCCTAGTCCTGCATCTCATGCCACTTTAAGAGAAAAATACCATGTTCTACCTTATTCTGTAGGTTGCTAAAGAAAGATCCTTTTCATGCATGATATAAAGATTAGCTGATCTCTCTTTAGGTTTGCCAACTATTTGGAGCATAGTGGATAAAATAGGTGACTTGTGAGCATTTGCAGTAAGTGGGTTCTCTGCAACAAGAAAAGTGAGACCATTTTTTGTATTGCAGTTTGTGTGGACTCAAATAACCATGATGGGTAAGCATGAATACTATCAAGAACATAAGTTTCTCTGTATTTGATGGGTAAATGGTATTCACGAGTAAAACAAGAATTGTTTTGGAAACTGACAACGTTGAGAGGAATTTGAACAGCTATTTTCCCAATGATGGAGCTGAAAGGCATGGTGACTTGGTGAACACCTAGCACAAACATCTCTTATGGAAAGTGAATGAGAAGCCTCAAACTGCATTCTTCTGCAGGCGAAATTGCACCAACTTTGCTATGCATTTGACATCTAGCTTTGTGGCTCCTCAATGTGCATGAGTGGATTGACAAATAGATTGGTGAATGGTGATGATTGGTTTTACTTGATGGAGAATCCAGTACCAAGTTACCAACCACTAGAAAGAGTTCAACAGCAGTGCAGCACCCTCCAATATACTAACTCATTACTCGGTTTTTATGTCAATTACCCAAGCATTTAATAGTACTCATTAGAACATCAGAGCATTTGCGGAGTCTGCTTGGCAATAAGAACAATGTTAAGCTCCTTCTAGCTTAAACTTCAGTGCAACAGAAACGGATTGAGTGCAATGAACTATAACTGGGTTTGGTTTGGTCAACCCCGTGTTTGATGAAAATTGAAAAACCCATGAGTCCATGACCGTGAAGCTATTGTTAGTAGCTTTTCCAAAGCGGCTCAATCAACGCTGAACGCTGAAGCCCTCTCAAACGGGCTCTAAACCAACCAAGGTGAGAAGTGTGCGCCACTCAAACTGAGTGAGTGAAAGCAACAACATTTTTTTTTTCAAATAATCGTTGGAAAATGGATTCTGCTTCTAAATTTCATATTTCTGCATAAAGCCATAAAGGATAGCCCTCTTGATTCATGCACTTAACAAATGTATTCTGTTGCAATGGGTATAAACATGAATTACAAAATTGGATCAACTAACAGATTGGCTCTGTTATTAAGTTCTTTGGCTGGTTGTAGTGGAGCTAACCCCTTGGTTGTGCTTAGTGCGTTCTGCTCCGTCTGGATTGGTCGTCCTAATTTCTAAAATAGCTATACTACATTACTACCCCATGTAAAATAAGCACTTTTTCCCCTAAATACTAGGAAGTTGAATAAACACTTATTTTAACAATAAGCACCCAAACTGGGGCTAGCTTGATTTGGATTTTGGACACATAATGGGGCATGGGCAGTACACTAATGCTGTTGGAACTGTGTATTTGTTCTAAATGTGATTATGTGACCCATTTACAACAATGGCCATGAATAACCTACAAGCTCACAGGACCCCTTTAAGCCCATTAAGATCCAAACAATCACAGATGGATGGAGGATTGGGCTCCACTTTGGAGAACTTGAAATCCAATCTCCGAGAGCCCGCCCCGTTTTAGGCTTTCAGCTTTGATTTGCGTTGCGTCAACTCATCACAGGGGTAGACCGGAGTGACGGGTCAAGCCATCGTATTCGTGTCCAGCTCGGCTGTCGGTGCTCCCGTCGAGCTATTTTCATATTTGTATTTTTGTAGCAGAAAATATCAACGTAATTAACTTTGGTAATCTTAGCCGTAAGATCTGGACTATCAAATTCCCATGGGACCCACTATTTTAAGCACATACAAGACGTGCCGTTGAATCGAAACCATCAGATCGAAATGTCTGTCAACGCGTACTTTAGCAAGCACTCATTTTTTTTTATTTTATTCTTTATTAAATAATTAATTCAAGCTCCCACGCCTCCATCAATCAACAATCGATCAATTATAAGTAGCGTCAGCCGCGCTAGTTGTCTGGTTTCGATTCCGTTTCTTCTTTCTTGTCTCCTGTCCTGGGTTAAAGAAGTTGAGAGCATCCACTTTTCAATATTTTATTTGTTTTATCTACGTTTCGAGGTTGACGCTTCCGTTGATTTCAACAAAACCGTCTTTATATGTATCCTTCTGTTGTGAGTCGGTCGGAAACTCTCTTTTAAATGCTTGCCTTTTTTTGGAATCATTTGTTTCGGTGTCAGGCGTGTTCTGATTCAATCCCCAAACTGTTTCTCCCCGTATCGATCGTCGAGGTGTCTGTTGAGATAGGTGGGGATAAGTTCCAAGTTGGTTGGCAACCTCAATTCGATTCAATCCGCAATCCTGTTTGAATTACGCATTGGTGCCGTTGAAGGATTTTGGAAATTTGTCGTGAATTGAACGAACCATGGAAGATTTGAGAGCAAGGGTTCCTGAATTCTGGGTTTTCTTTTATTGGGTGGGATGG